AGCTGTTTCCGCCCTGTTGTCATATCCTTCTGGAGTTAGCGTTCCTCTGATCAGGCCTCATTTGCATCCAGTCTTTTCGCTACGGGCTGACCCGAACTCCATCTTCATGCACGCTGGCATAGCACATGCGCAACGCATGTGAAGCGAATCAATAAAAAATTGCCAGATGCGTGAGGATTGTAACGCTGTGCCGTGTGCTTGTGACGACTTGTTTGCTTCGTAGTTGATCCTTGAGGTGAGGTTGTGTGCTGCCTAGCGTCAGACGAGGTCCGACCACGACCCGGGTCGTGACTCTGCGTAGGTTACACAACGCGGGCGAGTCCCGAGCTATCTCGTGGCCGAATATAGATAGCCTTCTACTTACATTTTTAATCGACAGTGAGAAGAAGAAACGTTGATCTACCAGATGAAGCGTTACAAGATGGTGTGATTGGTCCAACTCGTAACGAAAAAACTTATAGACCTTTCTACTTTACATGCTTGTTTTCTACATCAACCACTATATACATCTATACACATATGCAATATGCATCTATAATATGCATCTTGTTACCCTCTATGCACACCTATATACCTCTATACCCATGTCATTAAATCTTCCATCTATGTATCTATATTAAACTTATCAGGCGAAGATGAGCATGCCAGTCTGGACATGATCTGCCTTACCATGATGCTTGGTTGGCTTTATACCGTCTAATCTTACGTGACTCTTGTGAGCCTACATAAACTGACGCGATAGAGCACGAGCGACGGTCTAGCCCGGCTTGACCTGTGGACTTGATCGGACCTGACCCTGGCAGGCACGCCTCCGCCGGACGCGCTGGACCGCTGTGACCCAGAAGACGATCCAGCAGACGTGCTCGCTGTTCGGCCTGGACCTGGAGCGGCCCACCGCCGCTGCCGCGGGCCCGCTCCTACACTGTGGCCGGCAACAAGAAGATGGGCTATCAGCAGGGGCGCATCATGAAGATGACCTTCCTGGTCAGTCCCAGCGTTGCGGGACGCCACACCGGAATGGCTTCCTCGTGTGCACGAACCACGTGCCGACTGCACATTGCGCTCTTGCATCAGCTGACAGACATTCGGCAAGCTCATGCGGCCTGTATGTTTGATGAATAAGTTAGCGGGTAGCGTCGATTTACATCTTTCCCGATGTAAATATGTTATAGTTTTCATAGGGAGCTTTAATTTCCAACGGTCGCATGGGGAAAGACGCAATACAAAACGGAATAATAGCCGCCGCGAAGTACTTCCACAGGTTTCCTTGTCTTTGTTAAGTCTTGTCTTTGCATTTGCCGCCAGATGTCCCTAGCTATCTAGAGCTGCTCACTAAGCATTACTATCGCTTTTCGACCGAAATCCCCTCATTTACCTGTTTGTTCTTAGACACTGAGGGTTATGACCCCCGTTACGCCACGATGCGCGCGCTCTGATCTGCTGCTGTGACGCCATCGTGACGCCGGTGAATGGCTTCTCGGCAGAGGCGGCCGGCGAGGGTGACGCTGCTCAAGGGCGAGAAGGTGGTGGTGGGGGCGCGGCCACCGGCGCGGCCACCTGCTGGTGCAACATCCAGCCGGCACCGTGGCTGTCCTTACCAGTTCATGAGCTGAAGCCGCTGCGCTGCCCACCTGACGGACCGCTGGACGCTGTCGACCCGCTGCCCTCGTGCGGGCGCGCCGGCCGCTACGCACGGCCGGCCGTTGGCAGGCGCTAACGCGTGGTGACGTCACCGTGGCCTCTGACGTCACGACGACCGCCGACCTCTGGGCGTCGCTGGGCTCGTGCGGGACCGCTGGTTTGGTTGGCCGGCCCGGCACTCTAAGGGACGGTCAATGCCGCACTGCTGCACTGTCGCACGGCACACTGTCGCGGAAAGGGGGGCGCTGTCTGCTCGGAGCGAGGCGCCGAGAAGAACGGCGCCTGTTATGCGGTGGCTTGGCATGAAGCTTTGGCTGATGTGCTGCGAAATGGTCTCTTGCTTTTGCGTCTGGGTCCGATATATTTTATGCACTCTGACAACCTGTGTCACAGGTTAGTGAGTCTTTCGACCCTCTGTCTGCTAACTCTATCGCCAGTCCGATGCGGAACTTTCCCACAAATTTTTAACTCAATATTCTACTATCACGATGTTTTCATTTCATTCCGTGGCGGTTTCTTCTCACAGGACATCGAGCAGTGTGCACGTTGTGAGATGCTGACCGTTCCTTCGAACCTCGCCAATGCTATTCTTCCCCGAAGTGACCGGGCGGTCCCAGGGAGCCGACAATACTCAGTGCAAGGCTCTACCCTAGTGATGACATCCAGCCTCTGGAGGCAGCCGTTGACTGTACAGATTGTAGCCACGCTGTGCCAAATCAATAGTTCAACCGCGCCGCGCTCGTAATGACGCCCAGAGTCGGGCCCGCTGAATTCAGTGTGCCCAGCAACGAGCCCAAGTGCAAGGGGACTGCGCTCGTGGTGCGTTCGACTGCGGCTGGTGCGGCTGTGTGCTCTGTGTTGCCGCTGGCACCAGTGGCACCGCTTGTGCGCCCATTATCCTCCGGTATATTGTTCCACACTGTGTGCAGGGTGACGCGTGTTTTGTGGCGCGGGCGAGTGTGGACGTGTGTGTGTTATGCGTGTTTGGGCGTCAAACACATGTTGCCTGAGGTTTGCTCAACAGTGTAGATGCTTGCTGTAAATATTTTATTATTTTATTGTCTGAGCATTACTAAAGCTTCTCCCACACACTTGACACGTGGTGGGTATGGCATAAAGGTGTACTTGAACCGAACTGATTCCGTCCTGTTACTTGTGCGTGAAAAAGAGCAGATCAATCCTGCATGTTTGAAGGCATGGGCAGCCGAGCCTGAGTAAGAACCACATCGTTCCTTTACGTGTTGTCATCTGCAGTAATATGTATTTTCATGTTGTTAATATAGCTGCAGCGATGTTGTACAAAGCTGTTTACAAGCGAAACGGTAAACTAGTCTACCAACACTTCGCTGAAATATGGATTACGTCCAGACTAATTAAATCAAATGACGCACATTCAATTCCAGCATAACGGACGATGCATGAACTGCAGGGCAAGGAACATCGCCGGCCATTGTCTTCATCCGGTCATATTGTGGCACGCAATTTAAACATATATATATATATATATATATATATATATATATATATATATATATATATATATATTCGCCAGCAGCTATCGCATTGGTGCGATCAGCGCGGGCCTGCAGCTGCGAGCAGAAGCTATTTCTGAGCATGGCGGGAGTTAAATGGCGTAGTATCGGTAGGCCGCGTCGGAGTGAAAAAAAAAACGGGATCATACTTATCCCATGCTGAAGAAAATCCTCCGCAGCTTCGCCGCAGGGAATTGTCCACCATCAAACCACCTAGCTACCATCTTGAATCGCCTTCATTGACCTTGTTGAGGTCGTTCAAGGACGCCGTGCCGCGTGTTGCTGGAATATGGTCTTGTTAGTGCTTGTCAGCATGCAGACGAGATAAAACCCCACAGAGCATTGCAGTCGCAGCAAAAAGCACCAAGCTCTTCTCAAACACCTAGTCTTTACACGGAATCAAGTCCACCTAGCCAGTGGCTTAAACCAATTCTGGCGAAAGGACCATGATAGCTTTTAGATTATCCAAATCCTCTTGTGTTGCGCCTCAGCAATTTGCTTTTGTTCTCTCCTCCACCAGGAGCCGTTTGAGCATTTTTGCCCCGCAACCAATCTGTGCGAGCGAATCATTTACTCGATTGAGCATTTCCGGCCTGCTTTCGACAGCGGCGACTATGGGCGTCGATCGCTCTTCATAACAATCTTGAGTATGATTGAAAGCCCGGTTGATTCGCTTCAAGCTGTTGTTGACACTAATGCTGATGTCTTGCAGCTCTTGCATTGTTTTACTGACATCTTCGTCAACGCTCTCGTCCGGTGATACGTCCTGGTACCTCGCATCCCGGTCACAGTCTCGGTACTTGTCTCGTTCGTAATCCTGACGCTCGTTCTTGTCTCTTCGCCGGTCGCAGGGGTTGCACATGTCTTTTGACTTGGACCGAACAGCGTCCCCAGATCTGTCATTATCACACCAGCTTTTCATAAGGTCTTTATACCGATCCTTTGCGCTCACATTGGGAGGCTCTTCTTGTCCCTTCCGCATGGAGGCTTTCGCCGAGATCTGCAGTTTTCAGAAGCTGACCTTTTCGGCAGGCGGGATAAAACGGGTGCTATAAACTTTCGAATTCCTTGCACTTCTTGTAAGGTACGAGGAGTTGCGGCTTCATGTCTTCTTCAAAATCCATGACTTGTGCTAGTACATTAGCGAGCTCTTCATTGACGTTTCTTTCCACCCGACTTAGACCTTTCTCCAACGTACGGAAAGTGGTATCCATTCGGCATTTCACAATTTTCAGAATCTGGTGAAAATCTGGAGACGATCGTCTTTTCCCTTTTTGGTCGCGACGGTCACAGCCTTTGGGAATTCGATTTGTTGATGTATTGCCGTTTCGCCCACTGCACTTCTTTTCACATTTATCGTAACCTTTCCGGCCACATCTTCCTTTGAGTTCTTCCTTATCGTATTTGTTGCCGTTTCTGCAGTCCATCTTTTGTCGCGAGCACGGACCTCTGTCGTATTCAGTCGAGTCGCTAGGGTTTGATGCCGATGTGCGAATTTTACCCCGATCCCTTCCCCGTCTGTTACAATTATCTGGCATGAAGCTTTCGGGAAAAAACCCGAACTTTCATGTTCCTAACCATAAATATAATTGAAAAGATATCTCCATTTTGAACTGTGTATAGTTCGCACTCTAGCACTCGATTTATTGATGAGACGTGAAACACATCGGTTCTCGACTTAATTCGTGACATGCTACATTTAGCGCTTCTTTCAGAAAACGCATTTTGTATTTAGAAGTAGTAATGTTTCTGCGCAACAGGAACAAGTAGCGGTCATTGGGCGCGAGACTTGGCTCAAGACTTATTGTTGACATTTCAAATTTCATATTGAGAGGCAGGGGTGCTAGGATTGACGAGAATATTTTGCAAAAAGCTTTTCGACGGCATCATTTATTTCCAAATTTTAGCTACCTGTATAAAATTTACCGCCAGTCGCTTATTTTTATGTATGATTTGACAAATAATGGGATCAAAGTGTCGACGCGGCGACCCTTCTGACCGCTGGAGCAACGAGTACATTGATCCCGAGACAGGTGAGAGTCGCCATCGACAGCCGAATATGCCCGGATGATCTTTGTTAGAAAGAAAGGGAATTTGACGTAATGTGTCTTTTCCGCAATCTTCAAAAAACCGTGTTCAATCGTTCATGATCTCTGAAGGATTTACGGGGTTCAGGCAGCAGAGATTTTTGCCATAACTCAACGATATGGCAACTTATCTTTTGAAATACTTGTGACTAAGGTGCAACAGACCATTCAGCTGCTCAGTTCGTCCATACATGCACAGCCTGAAATAATGAGATTTAGATGTGTGATGCATAATAGGTAATCAGTTCTGAACAACAGCATGCATAGCACACATCTCGTACATGGCTCATAATTGCGTCAACCAAATACACTTACCTTACGGTCAGCCATTCATACTTTATTTTGCTTTGAACTGAAAGCGCCGCGATTGGCGTAGCGAATGTTGAAGATACGCATGTTATATTGCGTAGCCTCCGCACCCTCATCATGCACTGTTTCTCCAGCAATCCTAAGTGCTATACCCCGCAGATATGCTAACACACGGTGCTGTAGCTGATAAAGAGTAGTCTAATGGCAAAAACCGATGTTTCTAAGAAATATGGGCCTCTAGTTTCAGCTTATCAATTCTGTCCTATCACCACAAATGGCTGACTTCTAACCAGTTTTGTAATGTTAACAATCACTGTGAATAGAATTGTGATAGATCACAGATCTATGCGCTGTGGGAAAAAAAGAAACGATCTCATCGAAGCAGAATCCCCTAAAATACCTTAGTCCAACTGATCTCCTGAGGCCTTCATGAATACTGATGAAACGATGGCATCTCGAGGAAAGAAATTAATCTTGACAATGCTAAAATACAGATAATTATTCCAATAAAAGGACATGCTCCCTCAGAATGAATGAACAACCCCGGATATCGAGGGGTATTGACGGTGTTTCATCCCGAGTTGGCCAATCCAGAATTTCCCATTGATGGATAGCATGTGCCACCGTGTGTATGTTGCCATGACAACAGTGTGTTGTCGATGGGATGTTTCGCGATCATGGCTTTCTCTGAGTAGGACACCCGCTTATGAGCACCGCAGGCATCCAGTATATTTTCATTCGAATGGTATCAGACTTTTTTGGGTAAAGCAGCGGTTCATTCAGATCACTGCTTATAGAATGGCGTCGTAAAACCGTGCTGCCACCTTTGGATCTTTGGACCACTGAAGAATGTTGGCAAAGATGAGGCTGATCTGCTCTCCTTCGCGATGATTCAGTCTTGGCTCTTGTTCAACAGGTGAATTGGTACGTGAAGAGTACGATCGTCGTGTTGAGGACGTTGGCGGTGAGAAATACGAGTACGAGAGAGCCATCGTCACCCGAGAGCAGGCCGAAGAGGCCATGAGCTCTCGCCGGCGAGGCGGCGGTCGGGGCTGCGGCAAGGCGCGCGATCCATGCTCCCGCGGCGGCGGCGGCTGCTCTCGAAGCCGCATGCAAGATGACATGGACTGCGGCGGCGGCGGCGGCGGTCGGAACTTCCGCAGCATGGCGCCTCCGTCGAGGCCCCCCTACCGGGACCCGTGCCGCAAGGACGATGACCCACCCAACCCAAACACAGACGAGCAGCTGGCAAAGGTGGAGGAGAAGTTCAGCAACCTGGAGAAGCAGCTGAAGGAGTCGTGCGACAACCTCAACAGCGGGCTTTGTAAGGTGCAGCAGTGCATGAGCGACGGCTTCTCCCAAGTGAACGGCAAGATGAAGGAGATTGAAAAGAGCACAGACAAGACATTGCAAGCCATTGACGATCAGATTCGCACGGCAGAGGAAGAGCTGAATAAGAGCCTACGCGTATTAAGCAATGACATCGCTGAAACCCAAGAAACCTTTTGCCGAAACCTCGACAAGGCCAAGAGAGATGTGGACAAAATGGAGAAGTTCTTCAAGCGTGAAATATGCGAGACGATTAGGGATCTCAAGACAAGTAGCTGTTAAAGAATGTAAGTGGTTTTGTTCAGCGTTTCTGTCAGCATAACCGTTCTTGATCGTACTTCAAATTTTGGTAAGTGGCTCTTGCAATGACCGCTATTGGAACTCCGACAGAGGAATCATCTGATCAATAAAAGTTTTAGCAGAACCCAGTTTGCAAGCATTTTCAAACTACTTATCTCGGGATAGCTTCCAAGAAATAAAATAACATGCAGACTAAGCACAAGCCACTACGTCCAAGCACCAGCTATTAAGCAGTCTTTCTGAACGCCCCACATACGAACAGACCCCGAAAAGCGGAATGGTATCAATTTATTTCGTCTTTTTGTACAGCCATGGCCAACGATGTGTGCAATGAACCCCCGTTGGATTGAACACTAGGGAGACCTCTTATCTTCCTTAAATAGGGATTTCGTGATTCGACCATTGAGGGACCTATCACATTTCTCGGGGCTGAAGAGTCATTACGGTGATAGGTAACGCAGAAGCCTGGCGCTTCCGGTCGATACGGAATGACGGAAAGGATCTTAGATCTTAAATAGATGTTACTTCGTTACCAGAAAGACCTACTTCCATATCAGCAACCTATCTTGATTGCATCTGTTCTCTGTATGGCACCAGAAAGACCGACGGGAGCAGCTGACCTCTGACTGACACGCCTCACTGACTCAATAGGCTTCTCTGGCGGAAGAGGAGCACGCTCACTTTTGACACGGGGCCACAAGTTCGGCTTCTAGGGCCCGTGACCGAGACGGGATGGCGGATCCTGTTTGGAACTTGACCACATGACACATACAGGAACCCCTTGTCGACACATGATAGCTCATTAGCCTTCTCCCGGCCGGGGGTCTGCGGCAACGCGCCTGACCAGGGAAAGTTGACTTCATTAGGGATCTCCACCTTCCAGACGCCGCATAAGAAAAAACGACACATTGTGAAGGTCCCGTCAAGTCATAATGAATGTAGGCCGATTTTTTACATTAAGTCGAATTTGCGGTCGCCAGAGGTCACGAAATGTTACAAATTATCGCTCTCATAGATGCAGCTAAGACCTATATTAACACACGCCCGGTGGCCGGCTAGACACCCTTCGCTCGGATGGGGGGGGGGGGGGGGGCAATTTGCCCCACGCCTGAGATCTCGGCAACTAAGAAAGCTAAAGGCACCAAATTTGCAGGGTGTGTTGACCTGTATGTGACCCCACTTAGATCAAAGTTTCAGATTCCTAGGTCATGATCTTTGCTTCAAAAAGGTCAAACAAATTCAAGTTCCAGGCTGGTCCTCAAAGTGCCACCAGAAGCTAGAGAGCCGTTTAAAGGCAAAAGATCACATTCTCATGCAAGGTCAGTGACATTGTTTGACTTTTTGAAGGTTAGGGTGACCAAATTAATACAAGATTGCTTTGAGTTGTGCATTTGACTAAGCGACAAATATTTCGTTAGGCAGTACGTTTCTAAAACAAAATGTTGACTTGGGTCATTTTAGGTCAATGACCTATTCTGATCTCTAAGAAGTCCATGGATGATGTATAATGCGGTTCCTAATATCAATATATTCGAAATGAGCACCAGAAACCATGCCATATAACAAGCATTAGACTAACAAAACAGGTTGGTTTTGACCTTGGTGTGACCTTGGTTCGTGACCTTAGGTCAACTTACCTTACCTTAGGTCTAACACTGACCTTAGTGACCTAGGTCTAACCCTACGTTGTTGGATCAGATTGAAGGATTCCCTAGAAATTGCCTTCGCTGAAACCATGGCCCGAATTTGAACTGCCATAGGTCAGCAGCCTGACAAGATACATCTAAATTTTTGATGCCAAACGATCCGCTATTCAATTATCTACAGCTATGCAAAATTGGGCGTGGCTGCGCCACGCCTTTCGGAAACCATTCTGGAAAACCTTCGGGGTGGGGAGGGTCAAGTTAACCCCCCGAGCGCGTGTTAACACGTCAAGATGGATATTTAGGTTACGGAAATAGTCGTCAAGACTGTGGGTAGTCCAATCCGACCATTGCTATTCGCCCGCAAAGATCAGGTCAGATCAGGTCACCGTTCAGAACTGATCTACCAGTAGCCCGCAAGAACGACACATTTTGTCAATGTAAATCTGAGTTTATTTGGTAAGTTGCAGTTGTGGAACAAAAACATTTCATACACAAAAAAACATTCTACGTTGACGTATAGGTCACATGAGATCAACTTAGCCCAAATTTATTGACTATCCAAGTCAAAAATATTCAGTCCTATCCGGCTCTATGTAACCATCACAATGTTTTTTATGTTGTCAGAAATAGTGTGTTCTGCATCTCCAGGTACTCCAGATCGCATAGCTGTTGTTTGCATCATACATAGCTCCTTCGACGCTTGTCAATGAGGTTGTAACATGATAGAACAGACACGTTAGTGCATGGGATTACGATGAAATTATACGTGATCAGCTTAAACACGATAAAGAGGTGATTATACGCGTCGCACTCGTTCACCTAGCCGCTCCGCTACTGACAACGCTGAAAAATGTTTTACACCCTTGTAGGGAGTTACACAATATGTCGAAAACTCCGCCCCTACGGGGAGTGCGTACTCTCCAATGATGTCCTTCAATTACATTTGACTCCCCATATGACACCTTCGTCGGGAGTCAGGACGCTCCCCAGGGCAGTCAATTCTCTCTTGTGACTCCCTAAATGACCACCCTGAGAGTGCATGTGACACACCTCACGGGAGTCCGCTTTAGAATTGACTTTGCTTAAGGAGTCATGATGCCCGGGGGGTCAGATCATCAATTTCAGGAGTTGTAATTGGTAAATAATCGGCTACATGACCCTTCTCTCCACGCGTGCAAGACGAATTAGGGAGTCGTATCATCAGCGATGGGTGTCAGGAAGTCACACCATCCCTGCCGGGCGCCACCAATCCAGGGTGTGCTCGGCTGTTCGTGATTTAGCTGCAATTTGTGATGAGTTTAGCAGCAATTTGCAAACAGTATGCAGCCTACAGTGATCCGAGGCAAACAACGCACCAATTCTATCGAGTAAACCATTGCAAACTCGGAGCATGCCGTGTAGCGAAATACGAAATGGTCGTAGACTCCTTAACAAATTGGCTATTTTCTATCGAAATCGCTGCCAATTCGCACTCACTCAGCATAACCACGTTGGACATCTAACGCCACAGAAAAGTGTCGGGGCATTTGACTTGATGGCCTGTCAGCACGCGCACACTTCTGAATTAATGCCCGATAGGAAAAAGCTAGTGTATTTGGTCATGCTTTATTGCAAACATATTTTGACGACACCGTTTACTGCAAGTGTCTCATGCACTGTGTAGGAACACTGTTCACTACACACACCGTACACACACCCGCACTGCGTGGGCAGTCACCCTAGGTGACATAGGGTAAATCAGTACGGCTGGTGCACCTTGGCATGTATCCAGGTGGAAACTGGTGTCTCTGACAGGCACCACCAGCAAAAAGTCGTCCAGTCCCTCCCCGGCAACGAAGATGGTGTGGTCCTAGGCCGGCAAGCAACCGCTCAAGGTGGCGTGAACTGTTGAAATTGATCGCCTCTGAAATTGGTCTCATATTATCAGAAGCGCGATATAAAGGAGCGAATATGATCCGCACGACATATAATGGCACATGTATACCATGCCGGCGCTGAAACAATGCAACACTATCTATGTGGCTGGTCAGGACTGGAATTATGCGTTGACACGCCCCAGGGTGAGGGTGTAGGAGCTTCATTTCGGCCTCCCTTATCCACGTTGTCCAGAATACACGATCTCACTATAAATACATATATCCCGCTTTCAAGACTGCTGCCAGAGTGGGCCGGGCTGCCGAGCACTCCTTTCCACGTCCAGGCGACGACTGATCTCGAGGGCCATCGACTGGCTACCGATGAACCGGCGGATTCACCCAGTCGAAAAGAGGATGCTGGAGACGACAAGAACATGACGCATAGGCCGGAGCCGTATCAGGGAACAAAACTAACACGGGTACGCGGGGGTCGGCGCACGGTACGGCCGGAGCTGGTCCGCAGAATCGGCCCGGGCGAGTCTGGCGCTGCTGGCAGCCGACCCGCAGGCGTGGCCAGCGACTGGCAGGGAGGCGCGACTGGCGGCCGACTCGGTGGCGCTGCCGGCGGGACGGCCGATGCTTGTGGCCGGGGCGGGTCCGGCGCCAACAGCAGCGAACGCCATCCGAGCAGAGGCGGCGCAGTCCAGGTCGGTCTTGACGACAGACCGCATCCCCAGCAGGATGAGAGGCAGCACGTCGGTCAATGTGGTCTGCCCGTTCACTCGTAACGCCGTATTGAGCTGACGGTGCATGCGTTCGACGAGCCCGTTTGCTTGCGGGTGGCAGCTGGTGGTTCGGCGCCGCTTGCATCTCAGGAAGCACGACAGCTCGGCCCATAGGGCCGACTTGGTCTGATTGCCACAGTTGATCGTGACATGTGTAGGGATACCGAACCGAGCGATCCAGCCACCGACGAAGGCGCGTGCGACGGCGGGTGTGCACGTGTGGCGCAGGGGGATCACTTCCACGCAGCGGGTGAAGCGGTCCACGCGCGTGAGGAGGTGCGTTTAGCCGTCGGCGAGTCCTGGGACTGGATGAAGGCTGCCAGGGTCCAGTCCGCGCGCTGAGCGTCGGCCATGGCGCTGAAGTCGTCCAGTAGTGGCTGGGGCAACGAGGGCATCGCCATCGCCACCGTACCGACAGCGCGTCGGCAGCGACGCTGTTCTGGCCGGGGACGTAGAGTACGTCTGTGGTAATTGGGCGATGAAATCTAGGTGATGAGGCCTAAGCTCAGTAGCTTGTGCAGCGGCTTCATGATGGTGGCAGCATGAGGTATGAACCGACGGTAGTAGACTGTCATGCCTGCGTGCCGGCGCAGCTGCGCCGCGGTCTGTTCAGCGCTCCACAAGCTTCAGCGATCAGCTCGAATTCGGCGATCAACGTGCCCCCCCCCCCTCCCCCCCGAAGGTCTTTACAGCATGTAGTTCAAACGGCGTGGTGTAGCTGCACCAAACATTACTAAACTATAAGTTATAGTATACCTTGTGCATTACTATAAGGTATAGCATATCTTGTGCAAGACACAGACCTGTATGCAATTCAAGGTGTCTCAGGCAGTTGTGCCATG